GGTGTTAGTGGAGATGATCATTGGTGGTGGCAGAAAAGTGTTGTTGAAGGTGTTCTTGCTTGACACACTTCCAATGCAGGGCATAGTTTGAGTGATAGATGATTAATTCATTGATGATGCACTTGTTGCCTTGCAGTCTTGTGTACTGTTGGCTACCTCTGGTCTGTGTGCCAGTATAAAGCAACATTCTATGGGAGGAATGTAGTTGCTCACAACGGTGTTTGCTTCCACATCTGTAGTTCTTGTAACCTTCTGGTATCTCTCAACTTTAAATTTTCTGCAAGTATTTTAAGTATATTCAGATGTTCTGGTATCTCTTAGCTTTAAATTTTCAGCCTGCTATTATGGCAGCCTCTGATTGCACACTGAGGATCAGCTTATTTCCACCTGTTTAGTGAAAATTCCTATTTGTCCTTTTTTTCCTGAGTATACCATTTCATAACCTCTAACTCTGCCTTCTTCAGTTGCTTTGCAGATTTTTCTCTTCCAGGAAGCTTACTGAAAGGGGTGGGAAAATAGAGGAGCTGTACTCTGTACCCTGAAGCTACTCAAGCAGGGTTTCCAGAGTGACTTTTTTTTTTTTTTTTTTTGGTGAGTAGAACCTAGCTTTTCTCCTTCCCTCCTGTCCCCCCCCCCCCCAAGCCCCCCACACTGCTTCCTGACATCGATTGCACATACCTTAAAGAACAAGGCTTCAGATAAAAGAATGAGAACACCTGAATGAAAAAGGAAGACTTACTTGGTCTAGAGCCCCTGGTGAATATCAAAGAAGTGTTGGCCTGGACTATCTCCTCCTTAATTCACAGCTGCTCTCTTGTCTTCAGAAGTGAAACATCCCTTACCTTCTATTGCTACTGACCTAACTTGTGAGGACTGCTAGGGGATAGGATAGTTTCCACCCCTAGGACGCATAAGTTTTCCCTTTCCAGTTAACATGCCTAATCCCGTGCTGTCTTGGAAGAGCTTGAAAATCCTTCCTGACCTGAGCCAGGCTTTTATTTTGGGGACTGCCTATGAGAACATCCCTACCATCTGTGTTCCCTGTTTTCAGATTCCCTGCTATTAGAGTATTTTCACATGCTCACTGCCAGTAATGGTTTGTTAGTAGCTCCAAACCATTGGAGAGCTCAGGAGTCTGAATTTGAAAGATGCCCACAGGGTGATTTGAGAAGGTGATCACAATAAGTTGGGATTGGGGGAGTTGATAAATGCAGGGTCTGCTTGGGTGGGCAGCTGTTTCAAAGACCCTTGGTGAACTCTGCCCTGAAGAGCTTAAAGAAAGCTCTGAGGAGATCTGAGAGTCATACTTAAGCATCCTTTCTAACCTCAAAGAAAAGCCAACTTAGCCTTTTTATACAATTAACTAGATTTGGGTCTTAAATTCTTCTGATATATAGGCCTAAGAAGTAGGAGTTTCACGTGGCCTTGTTAGTCTTGCCTCTTCTTTCCTGTGCTGTTTTCTGAGAAATGGATGCAGGAACCGATTCCCTTTCTTCCTCTCTGGAACAGGACATAGAGAACCATTCTGCTTCCCTTTACTTATGGCCTTCCTGGCCAGGCTTACTGTATACTGAACAGAGCTAGGCAGCCATGCTTCTGAGCCAGCTATTGGGGGTCCACAGCCAGAAGGAATGGGAGACAACAGGAACCATTCAAAAGATAGTTGCAGTCAGAATAGAGTCCAGCTGTGGGGTTCTGTTAAGGGAGACACCTTCAAATTGGGAGACAGGCTTTTTCCGCTTGCTGGGCTGAACCCTCACCATATCCACTGAGCACAAAATGCGGAGCAGGTGTACCAGGGGAGGGATGAACGCGTTTCAAGCACGTTGCAAGTCGGCTAGTTGTCTGGAAATGTTCAAGGAAGTCTAGGGTATCATCCTATGTCTCAGAAAACGGGGTTGGTCCTCAGCTGACAGTGAATGGGGGCTGGTATGGTATTAGAAGTTGAACTTCGAGGTTGCAGTCTCAAGTCACCCTCTGGCCTCATAGGAATGCACCAGGGTGACTTGGGAGGATCTGAGTTTCCTTTATGAAGTCAGATTAAAAAAAAAAAAAAAAAAACTGATTTGATTTAAACAAAGTTGCAAAGGCTTCCCTGCCAGTACACAAAGACTGCATTGTTCATGTACCCTGTGTGCTCTAAGACACCAAATCAGATGCAGCAACCTGATCTTGCATAAGCCCTAGCTACAATGTAGGTTTTTTTTGTTTTTGTTTTTTTTTTTTTAAAAAAACAACTAGGCCAGTAGCCAGAACAGAGTTCTTTAAAATGGGACAGATGTCCAGAGAATGGCTAGTGTCCTCTAACAGTCTCCCAGAAAGAAGCAAGGCTAAGGTTACAATGTCCAGTGTCCTACTTTAAATAGACACTACTCTGGAAAATTACTTTCTTTATAAATATCTTTAAACACAAAATCCAAAAAGTATAACTCAGTAGAATGATGATGACAGTGCAGATGGTGGCCCATGTGAAAACACTTCTTGCCCAACATTTATCATCTGTTGACCTATTGAGATGTCTTCATGACACCTTTTACATTCATGATAGGTCCAAGGAAGATAGCAGTGTACTTGGTGGAAACTGCCATGTAAAAAGTGGGTTGTAGGGTGCTAAACAGTTAAGTGCACAGGGATTTGCGGAATGGAATAATAGACACTGGAGACTTCAGAAACTGGGAGATGAAAGGGGGATGAGGTATGAAATCCTACCTGTTGAGTACAGTGTACACTGTTTAGGTGCATGGTACACTGTTTGGGTGAGGGGTGCACTAAAAGCCTGGACCTCACCACTACACAATATATCCATGTAACACAGCTGTATTTGTACCCCCTAAATATATACAAATAATGTAAAAATAAAGTGGATATAGTGGCTCTAGTGTCCACCAACAGCATGTATGATTTTTTAAAAAGTGGGTTGTAGATATCTCAAACTTGAAGGCTTGTGTGAAAATACAAAAAATACTTTGTGTCTTAACAGATACAGTTGTTGGGAGGAAAGGATGCTACTAAAATATCCTTTAGGATTTTGTGGTGCTAATAGGTTATAAAAGACTCCTATTTGGTCTTGTTTTCTTTGAAATAGGATATGCACTTGTGGAATGTTTTCTCTCTGCCCTGAGAGGAAAATGGAGCCTACTGGTCAGGTGTACCTATTTCAGGTGGGATTGTCTTTTTGGGCTGTACGGATGACAATTTCCAATTCATTTATTCTTATATGAGCACTGGGGTGCAGTCTGGCCTGCATCATTGTGGGGTCAGAGGATGGGGGGTTTAAGAGCAAAGCTTGGAATGGGAGTATGGGCCTAGCTCTCAAGGGTGAGGCAGGCAGGGCCCACACCCCTTTAGGGGAAATGACAAATGTAATCCCTGGTTTCTGCAGGTTGGAGGTTTGGAAATGTGCACCATAGGGAACAAACTCTTAAGTTTCCTGACTGGAGAAGAAAAGGAAAGAATACCATGTTCTGTTACTGAGACAGCTTATTCCTCAGTGTCAGGCTTTGAAAAACAAACCCAGTAAAAAGTTATCTTTATTCTCATGTTTAAAAAGTTTTTCTATGATGATGCATTAACAATACAAAAATACTTTGAACACTACAATAATCTTTTGTCAAGACTTCTTGCAGTGTTACACTAGAATATGTGGTCTTTGGATTCTGAGAAACCAGTGGCTAAAGTAGGAACTAAAGGCTTTTTTTTGAGGGGTGTGTGAGTACATGGACAGCCTTTTTTTTTTTTTTTTTTTTTCTTTTTTTCTCCTTTTTAAGATGGAATCTCCCTCTTTTGCCCAGGCTAGAGTGCAGGTGTGCAATCTTGGCTCACTGCAACCTCTGCCTCCCAGGTTCAAGTGATTCTCCTGCCTCAGCCTCCTGAGTGGCTGGGATGACAGACATGCACCACCACGCCTGGCTAATTTTTATATATTTAGTGGAGATGAGGTTTCACCCTGTTGGCCAGGCTGGCCTCAAAACTCCTGACCTCAGGTGATCTGCTTGCCTCGGCTTCGCAAAGTGCTGGAATTACAGGCGTGAGCCACCACACCTGGCTGGACAGCCCTTTTTTCTTTGGATTCAGGCTACATATGGTGAGAAGGCAAGGAACAAAAATTAAAAAACTTGTTTTTCAAGGCTCAGGGTTGAAGCTTGGCTCAAAAATGAGTTAAAGTAGGCTGTGGTGAAGACCTGTTGTTCACCACTGGAAGTTTTCTGGGCTTCTTGATTTAGCTGTAATGGCGCTCTGTCCTGCAGCCCCATGGGGAAACTGCAGCTGGCCTGGACTGAATGCTGGAAGATAGGCTCTGGCTGTTGTGAAGTTTTGGGTTTGCTCTCACAGCTGTCCAGGAGCTGGTTGGACTGCCATGGATGAACTGGAAATGGAATTGTGAAAAAGGCTCTCTGAATGGGGAGGGCTGCACACTGAATTTGGGCCATGACTTCTCTGAACTGTTGATCGCAGCTGCTGGTGACAAGCCTGGGACCTTGGTATCGGAGCTTCTTAGGCTAGTGAGTTTCTCAGGAAACATTTCCAAGTTATTTGAACTACAGCCAGATTACACCCTCCGCTCCCCAACTTGCCTGAGAAGGTAGTGTCAGGTTATTTCTGTTGCTTAGGTTGATAGGCCTAAACTTAACCTATTCAATTCCCTTCCCCGCCCCTGCTTCTTGCAAGCTCCTGAGAACACAGAAGCTTCCTCTGGTCCACCTTATGAGTAGCAGCTGGTTTTTTATAAATAGAGCTTCTCCATTTCCTTAAAAGAGAAGGGTTGTCATCTTGAGCTTTGTGTTTGTGACCATGCACACATGTTTGATAAACCAACTCATCCTTGGTCCATGAAGTATCTGTATGGGGAGGGTGTGGCAGTGGGGGATAGGGGAGATGGGTAGAGAAGGTAGCTAGGCTCAGTTCAGCCCATGTCTGACCTATAGCAGAAAAGCTAGGGAGGCAGAGGCTTCTGGCTGGCAAGACAGATGGTAAAAAGAATAGATGCAGGCAGCCATAGCTACAAGATACGCCCTTAATTAGGTGACACATCAACACAGATGTGAGTCCCCACCACTTGGAGCAGTTTGAATCGATGGCGTCAGGTTCAGGCAGAAATTGTACAGCCTCTGAAATCTTCAGGGTCTGGACCCTGAGATGAAGTTAACAGGACCCCTGGCTGATTTCCATGCAATCTGGGTCTCTGTTGCTTCCTCTCAGGGGGTAGGCTCCTGGAGGAGGCCAGGTGTCCTGTACCTGCTAGGCCGCCTGTCTCTGAGATTCCTGTTGCTGTACCTGTGTACTCTGCAAGGTGCTGCGGGGGGCCTGTGGGGGCCCTGGGGCTGGGAGGCTGAGAGCAGTGGAGAGATCTGGGGATGTAGGTGCTGGCTCCGCAGGGCTAGCAAGCAGTTCTGTGGGAAAGTGGGGCAGCAGATGGTATGAGGGTGAGTCCTGGGGAGCTGGGGACCTGGGGCAGCCTAGAGCACTGTCATCGTAAGGAACGGGGCTGGGGTAGCGGCCTTCTCCGGGTAAGTACCGAATGCATTTCTTTTTCCTCCTAGGAATAGTGAAGAGAGTTATCTGTAAACAGAGGGTGAATTCATAGTCATACACACAACCAAAAAATGCTGCCTTTGCACAGGCCTGGCTGATTTCTTTGCGTCTCTTCCCGTGACTTGTGTGGTAAGTCAGTGTCCTCAGACTGCCAGCCTGGTTGGCCTGGCCCAGACGTAGGACAGGTGCAGTTCCCAGAACAGCCACCAGCTGGCACAGGGGCCTTTTGTAACTAGGGCTGAGGGACACCTCCTGTCTTCTAGGGGAGTCATCTCCCAGTGCCGGCCTTTGAGCTTCTCCAGGTTTGTGGGAGTCAGATCTGCACTAGGGCAAGGGGCTGCAAGCTTTCTTGCTCAGCCATCCCAGTCCTCAGGCTGGGCTAGAGGAGGAAGACATGGACAGTGACTCCTTTTGTCCATTATTACCATCCTTGAGTTCTCTGGGCCAGTTTGTCTCTGATGGAATGGATGGAATAGAACCACCTCTAAAGACAGGGTTGTTTCCCACTGTGCATACATATGTGGGTACACAGACACATTCCAAACTCAACTCCTCTGCTCTTTAACAGGGAGCATGGTGGGTACCCTGAGGGCCTGGACAAGTATTCCTTAGAGCCAGTGGCCTTATTCTGACTGGCGTACCCTCTGTCTTAGTTCTGCCAGGCCTGGCCTGAACCTGAGGAAACTTTAACCACTTAGTGGGTAAACCTTGTCACACCCACAAGTATCTCTCTGTTGTGCAGTGAAACACATGGACATAGTGCCACCAGGCCCATTTCTCAAGACAGCGCAGGGTACCCTGGCTCCTCTTCCCCAGCCTCTCCAGCCCTCTGGTCTCAGTAGATGCAAGATAGCAGGTCACAAGGATGCCTAGCAACTAGATAGTTTCAGATTAAGGGCTCAGGACGGTACAGGCAGGGATCCCACCTTGAAGTGAGGGCGCTGATGGGCCATGATGACTTTGAGGCCTGGGAATGGGCTCCAGGCCCCCTGAGTGGTGTCTGAGCCATCTGTTTGCTACCTTCTTGAGTCTGTCCTTCCTTTGTGGAACATCATGTCTTTCCACTTCTCCTGCACTTAGACCTAAGCGGTCTTCTCCATACACTGTGTTCAGTATTTGCTAGTAGTAGGAGGCCTGAGCTCCCCAGTCTGCTAAGTATGCTAGTGGGCTGAGGGGCCAAAGGAGTGGGCTGCAGGCCCAGTGGAACATGTGCAGAGTCAGGGAAGCAGCTTAAAGCAAAGGGAGAACAATGGTGGGGACAAACCCACCTGCACGGACCACACCAATCCGTCTGCTGGTTGAGGCCAAAGCGAGCACGGCATTTCTTAGGCGAGCCAGGGTCTGCTCACAGCCATGCCAGAGGGGCAGAGCAGGGCAGAGGGCGAGCAGGCAGCGGGGCAGAGCAGGGCCCAGAAAGAAGAGGTAACATCAGTGTTAGCCAGTTACAGACATCCTATAGCCCCCATAGACAGAGTGGGCCTCTCCATGGCACAGCCAGCCCCAGTGGGAGCCCGAGAGCCCAGAGCCAAGATACCAGGAAAGGTGGGCACCCAGCTAGACAGTAGAGGCAGTGGGAAGAATGGGAGGGAGGGGGTCCTGTCAGTCTGGCTCATCTCTGTGGCTTGCGGGGTCCTTGCAGCACGGAGGTTGCAGAGGCGCCCAGGGAAGACCATAGAGATCCAGCCTCTTCTGCCTTAGAGCTACCCACCTCCTCCCCAACTCCCTATCCATTTTATCCTGTTTCTCTTCATTTCTTGACCTATATTTACTCAAGGGATGAGGCTGAAGGCTATAGCTTAGGCTTGTTCTACACACTTCCAGATGGAAGGAAGGGTCCATTCTTTGCCTTGGAAAAGGAACTCTGCCCTGCTGTGTCCCAGTCCTAGCCTCCAGCTTCCCCATGTGGAGACAGCACAGCTGAGAAAATCATGGATGTGGAGTCTTAAGTAACCACAGGGGCAGGAATTCACCCACAGGAAGGAGGCCTGCAGCAGGGTGTGGGCTTCTCTACACAGAGCACTTTACACAGCCATGAAAGATGTTGGAGTGGGGGTGACAAATGGCCAGGCTCCAGCCAGTAGGCTGTGTGACTACTAGGCCTAGTTATGGGGCCTGGCTCAGCCTCTCCCAATCTCAGCAGAACTAGCTAGGACATCAAACCATACAGTCAGTACCTTGCTAACTTCTCTGGTAGAGTCTAGCTGTGAGTGGAGGTAGCAAAGGTGGTGGGGGCAAGGCAGAGGAACACATCATCTACCCAGCAGAAGCCAGTTTTGCTGCGTTTCCCTGGGACTTGGTGTAATACAGCTGTTTCTTGCATGGGAATTTGACTTGTGAGATGCACACCTTATTTTCATAGGGCTCAGGCCCTGAAGGTTCCTGGCTGGGTACCCTGCTCCTCCCTTTGGGTCAGAGGAGGGATGCTATTGAAATGGGGACATGGAGAGGAGCCTCTACAACTGCTGAGGGAAGGTCTCACCTGTGGTGGATTCTTGGTGCTTTTCCCTCGACCTCCTCTTCTTCTTCCCCTGCAGGAAACAAAAGGAGGGATGCTCAGATCTGGAAGGCAGCTACTGGGATACCCACAGCCTGCTGCCTAGCTTGGGTACCCCCTGGGATTCTGGGCATACAGGCCCCTCCTACCTTGGGGGTGCTGGTGTTTCTTGATTGCTTTTCTTGCTAGGCTGCTATGGAGTGCATTTAGAGGCTCTTCCCTTGCCCCAATTGGGTCTCCAATTTGAATGGAGGGAGGTGACTTCCAGACCGCTTTCTCCCCTTCTACCCATGTGGCCCAATCAAATGTTGGGGAACAACAGCCCATGTGTGAGTGTATTGTGGAGTGGTGAATAGGATGTGGGCTTGGCCTCTTCTGAGCCAGCCATGGAAGGCCTTGGACCCTCCTTGCCCTTCCTCATCTGTGCCTTCAACTGCCTTCCTTGCTGAGATTGTGCCTAGGGGCATGGTTTCTCAAAGGGTCCCCTCCCCAACCCTGCTGTGCATCACTGGCCACTCACGTAGTTGTCCCGCGCCGACCAGCCTGGGTAAAGCTGCATGTGCAGCTGCCTTTCCTTGCGGGCCAGCTCATAATACTTGGCCTGCTCTTCTCGAGACAACGCGTGCCACTGTAGTAGGGAAAGGGCGGGGGGAGGGCAGGTGGTGCGGGGGAGGTGCATAAGGGAGTCAGCAGGCTGCACCAGGCTGAAGATGGTCTGGGAGCATGCCTGCCAGCCCACCTGCCCATGGTCTCACCCTGCGGCCCAGGATCTGGTTGATGGCAGCGCTCTCCTTAAGTGTGCACTCTGCGATGACCTTGGCTCTCATCTCCTTCATGTACAGCATGAAAGCATTGAGGGGCTTCTTGATGGTTGGCTTCTTAGCCTCCTTCTCTGCTTTGGACTCTGCTTGTGTTTTCCTGAGGGGCAGAAATTCAGATTGCTCAGAGGCACCCCCAATTGTCCACCTAATGGCAGGCCCCTCTTCTAGTGTGGGCCTAGTGTGTGAGTAAGTGTATGTATGATACCAGAGTTTTCTAAGTGGGATCTTTTCTAGCTGCCCCCAAATGGGTGAGCAGACAGCTAAGTATCTGTTCCTTACAGGAATACTACAGCCAAGTGGGAAAAGCATGTGTAAAGGACTTCTGAGCCTCTCCTCTGTTGGCTCAGAGAAATCGTTGTTTCCCCATCCCACCCACCCCTTCCTCTTCTAAAGATCAAAAACATGTAGCCGGAGACACAAAGCAGCTTGGCCAGGGACCTGGTGGCAGCTCTCAGGCCTGGTGGGAAGGCATGTGTGTCCTGGCTGACACACCCCCTGCCATCATTGTCTTGACTCACAGGTTGCGGTCGTAGGGCTGCAGCTCCTGCTTCCCTGAGGGGGGCACAATTGTGGGGTGGGGAATGGCTGCTGGGTGACCAGGTACACCAGAGCCGAGCATCAAGGATGGGTGGGTGAACCTGGAGGCAGGAAGAAAGTTAACACTGAGCCAAGAATTATGGGCCAGACCTTGGGAGACACATGGAAGCCCCTGCATAGTACATGACTTGAGGACACAGATATTCTACCCCTACTGGCCTGGACATAAGTACACAGATAAATACAAATACCTGCTCCCAGCACACTGCACAGACATACTGCAAAAATCTACATAGATTGCCAAGTAGCTTTTGAATCTGTCCCCTTCTCATGTTCTGCCCCCACCAACCAGTCTCAGGAGCCTGTGGCTGCCTTGTGAGTCCTCATCCCTCTACTGCTTGACTTTTCCAGGCCTCTCTCCACACAATAGCCAGAGTGACCATTAAAAACACCTGAATGTTCCTGGCCTGCTGCTGCTGAAATTCCCTCAGCATCCACAGAATAGAACCCAGGCTGCTCCCAAGGGCCTGCACATCTGTGCATGAGCATCCCTACTGATGTTTCTACCTCTTCTCTTCCCCTCTGCTTCTTGCTGCTCTCCATTCCCAGTCAGCCCCAATTACAGCTGTTCCCTTTGTTTCCCTCTCAATAAAGATCTATTATTCTTTTTCATGAAGCTCTCTCTGATCCATCAGGCCTGGTGAGGTCTCCTTAGGGCTTCCCCATCACTCAGCTGGCCCATTCTACTGCTGGTGGCATGTCTACACTTGCTATGCTGGGCTGTGAGCTCCAGTGGGCTAGAAATGTCTGTGGAATCCCCTGCTATTGCGTATCTGGCACTGAGTCTATCACTGAGGAAGTAAGCTAAGTAAAGGGATACATGTACACACACCTCCCACTTCACTTTCTTGCTGCTTTGTGGAGACCATTCTGCCTGTTACTGCTTGCACAGGTGTTATCCCTGAACAGCAGCCCATTGGGGACTTATGTAAAAGATGCTGTCTCAGCTTGGGCAGAGCTCAGGGGATGCCCAAGAGAGTACTCCTAAGTAGGGATGCAGAACAGAGGTGAGTGCCCACCCATCTGCACTCAGACTGAGCCACATGTGCATGTACTGTCCTGGCCTCTATGGCAGTCTGCTGCCTGGTGTGGCCCGGGCTGAGGCCTGTTGGCACTTGCACTAGCTTCATTTTCAGGCACAGGACAGCAGGGGGCTGCAAAAGGACAGACAGACAGATGGACAAAAGACTAACACAGGGCAAGCACTGGCTTGGGCATGGCCTTGTGTGGGCACTGAAGCCTGGGCAACAAGAAGCAGGAGCCTGGCTGCAGTGTAGGGGACTCACCTGGGGTAAGGGGCGCCAGGGGCTGCAGTGGGGGCAGGGAAGTGCTGTCTATATCCGCAGGAAGGGGACAGGGGGTAGAGAGGAGGGCTGGGCCTGTGGTTAGGAGAGACAGCTGTTAGCAGTCTGGCTGCTGGCCAGGCATGGGGAAGGACTTCCCTACCTTGCTAGGCCTTGACCCCATAGTATGAGACAGATAGGCCTCGCTGGAATTTCAAGCATCTGCCACCAGAGGGCAGCTTGTGCTGCACCTGTTTCCCTCTATAAACTTGCGTGGGTGTTGGAGGGATGGAAATGCTATCCTCCTGGGATCCAGTTTAGCAGACCCCCGGGCCCCTTCAGCCTGCTTCCTGTTTCTTTGACAATACAGGGCTGATACCTGTCCTGGGGCCATTGCGCCCACTGTTAACACTGGATTGTGACCTTTTCTCCTCAAATCCGTGAGATTCCACGCTGGATGAGATACTCCTGTGGGCTCCTACAATCCCTAATCAAAGCATTCCCAACAGTGCCCCATAACTGCTTCTTGCCTGGGTTGCCCACTAGGTGGACCAAGTTCTGAGAAGGCAGGGACCTAAGGATCATTTGGCTTCAGCAGTGCTTCCCTGGTGCCCAGAACCCTGCCTGGCACACAGTAGGGCTCAGTGGAGAGATGGCTAAAATATCCCCACTTCTTTCCTTACAGCCAACTGCTACCAGGTGGAAGCTGAGAACACAGGCCTGCCTGAAGTCCCCTCCTTAGAGCCTTGGTGGGTAAACATGTGCTCTAGGCTCAAGTCTCTTGGTCTTCAGTGCTGCTGGCCTAGGGGATGCTTTTGAAGGGCTGGCCCACAGATGGGCATCTACAGAACTTTGATCTAGTGCAGTAAGGCTGAGATCTTGAGCATCTTGCCACACTTTGATCCTAGGGGTATTAATGGGGGTAGTCTTGATTAGTATTCAGAATGGATTATCCAAGGAGAATCTGGAATGGAGGAGGGTGTTAACTGCAGGTTGGGCCTCTGGCCTGCCCAATCTCCTTGGGAAGCCAAGTTTTCCTGCTGTTAGGTGACTGCCACAGCCCAGCTCTCTGAAATAGGCTAGAGACCTGCGCAGCTCACACTATTGTTGTTGAGTAAAGGGCCAAGTAGCCTGCGAAGGCCCAACTCCAGCTGAGGACAGGCCCTTTGGCCCATAGTCAGACCTGCTGGCTTAGGGGTCCAGGCTTCCTTTTCCTGGCCCAGCCGACTCTCCAAGCAGGCTGGTCAGAGCCTTGGGCTCAAGCAGGTGCCATGGGGGCAGGGAGGAACACTGCCCCTCAAGCAGCTCGGCCAGGGAAGGGACCAAAAGCAGTAGGCACTGAGGCCAGTGAGCTGAGAAGCAGCAGCCTCTCTGGGAGCCATTCATGCTGTTGCCTCCCTGCTCAGGTGCACCTTTCTTCCTCACATACTCATATAGCCCTGGAGGTCCCTTAGTAGCCCAGCCTTATCCCATACAAGGGGACCTCTTGGACACTGAGGGAGACAGGGCTGGGACCAGGGACCAGCTCTTCTGCCTCCCCAAAGGGGGTATATCAGACTACCTGGGGAATGCAGGCCAGGGGGACCCCTCGCTCACAGCCAGGTTAGGACAGACCTCCTGGCCAGCCCCTGGCATCTAAACAGAGCTGGCAGCAGGGTGGCCAGCCAAGAGGGATGGAGGGGGAAATGGAAGGGCAGGCAGGTCTTGGTCTGACCAGCACATGGTACCCCTTTCCCATTGGGCCAACACTCACCAGCTCACAGTGTGGGGGAGCTGTCCCATGCTGCTTGAGGTCAGGGAGTAGAAGCCAGAGAGGTCAGGGGTCTGCAGAGGCCTAGGAACTGCAGAAGAGAGAGACTGAGTGAGTGGGCTAGCCTGACCCGGCAGGCCATATATACTACATCCTAGAGCTGCCTACAGAAGCCTTAAGACGACCAGACATAAACTGGTTTATTCAGTGTGAGAACAGTGTCCCTTTGACGAACTCAGGGCAGAGGGCCGGGTGACTTGTCTAAGACATCAGTTGGCCAGTAGGCAGAGCTGAAGTCATTCAGGCACGGAGGCCAGGCCTCCTGGTCCACGGCTGGGGCATCTCTGCTGGGGGGACTCCAGCCTGGCTTTTTGGGTAGGAGGCAGGTCCTTAGTCTAGGGGAGCCCAGCCTGGGTAGCCAGGGTTCCACCTGCCCCTCAGGGTTGAGTCAGCAGGTTTCCCACAGCTGACAATGAGGGATTTCAGAATGACTTTGCCTGAGGCCGAGGTGAATCAGCCATCACAACCACCACTTTCCATTTTCTCACTGAGGGGAGGAAAGGCTACAGTTTTACAGTTCTCAGCAATGCTCCCATACTGGCAGCAGGGTTACCCATGGGATTTAGGCTTCTACCTCAACCTGAAGCTTTCACATTTTGACCTAACACCCCCTTTTCCAGTATTCTGGTGCCCTCCTACCCCCAGTCCCTCTTTCTGGAATTTTCTTTGGGCCCTTAGTTTGCACAGCCCCAGGTTCTCCAGTTATAAAATGGACCCGGTCATCTGGTCTCAGAAACTGGGGACTTGGCCCTCAGACTGATTTCACTGGGCCCCTCCCCATTCCAGGCTTGTACCTTGTTTCTGGCTGATGTCCACAGGTGCAGGGGTGGGGTGTGGGCTGTTGAAATGTTCGTAGAGAGGAGAGAGTTGGGGGACACCATGGGCAGGCTGACTGGCCTTGTGCTGAAAAATGAGAAGGAAGGTGGGTAAGTGTGGGGAGTCCTGAGGGAGGAAGGCACCGAGGTGAGGGTGTGTATGTAGGCAGGGTCCCAGTGAATTGTGTGCAGGAAGCCCAGCTCTCAAAAGTGGAAGTGGCCAAAACCAGAGGCATCAGGGAAGGAGATACAACTCAAGCCACCCTGTGTCCAGTGCCTCTGCCCACTAGCCTGCAAGACTCTACCTAAGCAGTCCCACCCGCTAGAAAGCCTCTTGTTTTTTTCTAGGCACTCATTTCCTAGAGGTGCATCTCCCCCGTCCAGAAAACCCTTATTGGCCTCCTGATCTCAGATTTGGCTTGTCTTGGGTGTTGCTTACAGCCTCCAGCCCCCTAAACCAGGGCATGGTTTGAGGATACTCAGGCCTACCCTAGCACAGCCTGGAGCTTGCTTTCTTCCTCCTCTAGTCCCCAATCTGGGTATGTTGAGTCTGACCATTTGTCTTGGCTCAGGCCTCACAGGATTTGCTGGCATAGGGAAGGGTCCTCCTCAGTCCCCTAACTCAGGGGAGATGGGGCCTGGCTTCCTTCAGGGCCAACCTGCCCAGCCCCTGTAATTCCTGTTTTGTCAGCACCGCAGGACCCTTTACTTTTCTTTTTCTTTTTTTTTTTTTTTTTTTTTTTGAGACAGAGACTTGTTCTGTGGCCCAGGCTGGAGTACAGTGGCACAATCTCGGCTCACTGCAATCTACGCCTCCCAGTGGTTTTAAGTGATTCTCCTGCCTCAGCTTCCCGAGTAGCTGGGATTACAGGCACCCGCCACTGTGCCCAGCTAATTTTTGTATTTTTAGTAGAGGTGGGGTTTCACCATGTTGGTTAGGCTGGTCTTGAACTCCTGGCCTCAAGTGATCCACCTGCCTTGGCCTCCCAAAGTGCTGGGATTACAGGCATGAGCTGCTGCACCTGGCCAGACTAGTGCAGTTTTCACACTAGTTGCACTGCTCTATCAAGAGATGACTCAGTCAGCAGGCTGGAAGAGGGGCTCCCCAGGGAGATTTGGCTGCAGAGAGTCACTACCAGGGCCAAGGCCCAGGTCTACAGTATTCTCAGTGCACATCTGCATGGGTCAAGGCCTTGGAGACATCATCTGCAACCCAGGTTCAACTTCCCACTTCGAAAAGCCCATCTGCAGGGGTGCTGCTGGCTAGGACTATGGATGAGTGATCTCTGACCCCTGGGAGAGAGGGAACGGGACATCTTTGGGGCAAGACAGTAATAAGGGCTGTGGTCTTGGTGCCTCCCCACTCTGTGGGTACAGTTTCTGACTGGGTGAATTTAGCCAGACTCCTTAAGAGCTTCAGGCTTCTCTCGTGGTAGTGAATGGAGTTCATAGTCCCTTTATTTCTGGGCCTGGAGAAGGGTGCCTCATGGTGAGGGGGACTGGCACAGTCTCTTGGCACTTGGTTATTGGAGCCCAGGGCAAGCCCAGATGGAAGGCTGGGTATAAGTCCCACTGTAGCCAAAGCATGAAGCTCCCAGCTGGGCACAGGCCCCCTCACCTGCCAGCAACAGCCGTGTTGCTGGCATCTTCCCTCATATTCCTGCCTCCGGGCTACAAGCTTCGCCCTTCCTCTCTGGTCTTGGGGAAGGTGCTGACACTGCTACGTGCCCTACTCATCTATCTGTTCACCAAGAAGAGCCTCATATAACAGGGCTACCCAGGCTTTCTCCTTTCCTCAGGCAGGCAGAGTATGATGTCCCTGTAGGTGACTGGCAAGGAAGAGGAGAGGCTGGGGCAGCTGCAGGGCATGTGGACACATGTGAAGTCCTTCAGGTATCTGGTACCTGCTATGTGCCAGGGACTGTGTCATGCACTTTGTAAACCCTGTCTCATTCCCATCAGGGTACAAACTGGCTGCCATTTATCCCATCTCTAAATCTTCCCCCACCTACCTACCACCTCCTGTCTCACTCCCTTTTACAGAAACCTCAGCAGACCTGTCCACATTCACTGCCCCTAGTTCTCAGCCCTCATTCTCTCTTCAACGCAGCCAGGGTCTTGCCCCATCCCTCTACCAGATGACTCTTGTCACAGTCCCAATAACTTCTGCAATCCTGAACTCAGTAGTCAATTCTCAGTTGTAATTTTACCCGACCTCTCTGCAGCATCAGACACAATTGGTTTCTCCCAGTTCCTTGAACTAGTTTCTTCACTTGGATTGCAGAATGCCACACTGCCTGATATTTCTCCAGCTTCACAGACCACTCCTTCACCTTGTTTCTGGCTTCCATCGTCCCCTCATCTGGGTTTACAGCTTTAAATATCTTCATGTGATAACTCCACATTTCTATCCCAGCCCCACTTCTAGGAACTCTACTTTCCAAATGCTTACTCAACTCTACTTGGTGGTCTGAAATGCCTCCCAAACTCAACATATCCAGATCAGACCCTCTGATTTCCTGCCCCAAACGCTCCTCCCTGTCTTCCTCAGTTAATGGTCACTTCGTCCTTTCAGCTGCTCAGACAAAACCTTGAAGTCATCCTTGACTCCTTTTTCTCTGATATTCCATATCCAATTTATCAGCAAACCCTAATGCTCTACCTTCAAAGTGTATCTAGAATTCCACCACTTCTTCCTTCTTCTTTGTTCTCCACCCAGTCCCAACCACTATCACTTCGCACCTGGATGACTGCAGCAGACTCTCCCTAGACCCCTGCATCTCTCCTGCCCCTCTGCCAGTCCTCAATCCAGCAGCAAGAGGAATCAGATCATGTCACTCCTCCCTAAAGCTTCCAGTGGCTTCCCATGCTATCTCCTGACCTGGGGCCTACAAAGTTCTGTGTGGACTGGGCACAGTGGCTTCATGCCTGTAATCCCAGCACTTTGGGGGACTGAGGCAGGAGGACTGCTTGAGGTCAGGAGTTGAAGACCAGTGTGGGCAACATAGCAAGGCCTTGTCTCTACTAAAAATAAAAATAACTAGCTGGGCATGATGGTACATGCCTGTAGCCCCAGCTACTCAGGAAGGCTGAGGCAGGAGGATCCCTGGAGCCCTGGAGATGGAGGCTGCAGTGAGCCATGATTGTGCCACTGCACTCCAGCCTGGGTGACCGCGAGATGCCGTCTCAGAATAAGTAAGTAAACTTCTACATGATCTGTCCTCTGCTTCCTCTGTAACCCCAGCACCTTCTACTCTCTTCCTTGTTCACTATGCCCAGGACTTCCCATGGGTGCTTTAGCCTCCAGCATCCTTCTTCATTTACTCCAGTGATAATTTTGTTTTGTTTTGTTTCTTTTTTTTTTTTTTTTTTTTTTTTTTGAGACGGAGTTTCGCTCTTGTTACCCAGGTTGGAGTGCAATGGCGCGATCTCGGCTCACCGCAACCTCCGCCTCCTGGGTTCAGGCAATTCTCCTGCCTCAGCCTCCTGAGTAGCTGGGATTACAGGCACACGCCACCATGCCCAGCTAACTTTTTGTATTTTTAGTAGAGACGGGGTTTCACCACGTTGACCAGGATGGTCTCGATCTCTTGACCTCGTGATCCACCCGCCTCGGCCTCCCAAAGTGCTGGGATTACAGGCGTGAGCCACCGTGCCCAGCTCCAGTGATAATTTTGTAAACGTGCCATGATGTGAGGTAGGTTGGGAGGCCCAGATCTAGACTTGCTTTTTCACTGACCTTTTTCTAGAGGATCCTGGGCCAGTGTCATCCCTTCTCTGAGGCTGCATTTTCTCCCCTTGTAAAATGAAGATGAGAATACCAGTCCTGCTCACCTTACTGGTCACAGATGTAAAAGTTCTGCTTTGTCTTAAAGTTCTGGGGAGAAGGAGCTAAGGGCCTGTTAAAGTAGGAAGTTTCCTGGAAACCCCTGAGATGTTTTTATCCTAACAGGTTCCTAGAATAGTGCCAGCCAGACAGCCAGACAGCATCAGCCCTGACCAGGCCCTCGTGATAGCTGAGGATGGAGACTGAGCCTTAGGGCCTACTTCAGGAACATTGGATTCTGGCAGAAAGCATTCCACCATTCACCAGCTTTGGGCACAAATGCCTGGAGCATGGGGGGCTTTCGAGTCTAAGCTTCTGCTTCAGAGGAGGCCTTGCCATCCAGCCTTGGCTCTGGCTCTTTGACCCTTGGGATGGACTGAGGGCCTGGCTAGCGGAATAGGCAGGGGTCCACAGTGCCAGCTCCTGGAAGACAGTCTCAGAGTCTCTGCTCTGCCCAGAGTTGGGGGTCTGCTCCAAGGTAGTGAGAACATGACTCCAATGCAGGTTTCTCAGTAAACTGCCCTTCCCCTGGGAGTGGGTAGTTTACCAAGAAACTACTCACAGGAGTTTTGGCCAGGAAGCCATGGAGAGCCCTCCTATCGGGGGCGGGGAAGCCAGAGCTGACCTTCGTTGGCCATGCTGGGCCTGGCTTGGGTTCAGCTTTGCCACCTGAGCCCCACGTTGCTGCACAGCTCAGGCTAGGCCTAGGAAACCACCAAGAGAATCCAGCCCAGCCTACAGCTGCTGGCCTGGTACATATACATATGATGCGGGGTGTTGCCTGGCAGGCTGTGGGCTCCTACTGTCTACCAGCTTTCCTTGGGAACCGGGAAAAAATGCATTGAACAGGAGTCGGCTGTCAGACCACAGGAGAAGTGCTAGGTGGGCAGTGGTGGGGCAGATAACCCACTGGCAGCTGGAGGTCCTGGGGTGGCCAGGGCTGCAAGGCAGGGTATCGAGGTCCTGGCCAGTCCCTCCTACATTCATGCAGGCTGCCTTTTAGCCTCACTCCCCAGCCCCCTTGGTGCCTGGTGGTAGTAGTCAGGGGAAACCGTCTGGCACAGGGTCTGGCGCCCATGTCCCCCTTGCCCAGTGGAATGTCCCACTCCAGGGCTTCAGCACAAGGCTGCCTCAGGGCCAGGCTGCCTAGACAACAGGGTGGGGTCGCCTGGGGCCTGGTGTGTGCATGGGGAGCCCAGTGACTGGAGCTCCCCTCTCCTGCTCCCCCTGATGATGACTGTGCCCAGTCCCTGAGGGAAGGA